AGAATAAAAAGGCCAGGATCTTGGTCTTCAGCAGCTCAGCATTGTGCAGCCTGCTCCATTACTCCTGTTTCTCTATTAGTGTGGTGCTGCCCATGCAACAAAAACTGATTCTAAGATCTATATTCCCAAGCAGCAGAAACACAAGTATGAACAAAATAGTGAATTTCTTATGATGTTTTCATTTTGATAGTGAAAAAAAAAACAGTAAACAAATTTGTTATAATTTTATAAAATGATTTTGTAAATGAAATGATTTTAGATATTTATAAGCTAATTTTATAAGTAAAATAATTTATAAGTAAATTCATAAGACTAAAATAGGTTAATGTAGTAGTAAGACAAGGAAATAAGGGGCAACTTTTGCTAGCATAGTCAAAGGCCCTTTTGGCTATTCTAACATAAATCATAAAATACATTTTATGAGATAAACGGCCTTTACCCTTAACAACATGAACTTATATATCTACATATAAATAGCTATTGTTCCCTTAAAAACTACATTCATCCTAGAGATTTTCTTATTTATGAAATCAATTATGTAAAGAACAATTATGTATGTTAATATTACTCTAGCATAAACTCTTAGAAATTAGTTCAAAAAGCACACAAGCACACTGACACAAGCTATGCAACTTCTATCAACCGACAAATTCCAGACAGATTGGGAAAAGCTCTGAAAAATCAGAATTTCCACTGCTAGCTTATGTTATGACCTCCCTTTTTGTATAATCATAATATCAAAATATTCTGAGCAACCATCAGTTTACAACTGGATTGTCTTAGCCTCATAAGGCAGCTGGCTGCCTGGTTCAGGCAAGCTGCCCCAGGGTGGGAAATTCCTCTGTCTCCTGAGACAAAAGGCAAACCCCCAGGAGAAATAAGACCCCCAGAGCATAAAAACTCCTGGAAGATTCCTTGGTTTCTTTAAAATAAAAAGCAAATCTCAGGTAAGACTCCCAGGGCATAAGGACTCATGGACAATTTTTAACCTTGATTACACAGGTGTTGCTTAATACACAACTGTACAACTTTCTCTTAATTTACTCCTTTTTAAAACAAGCACTAACTACTCTGCTAGCCTTAAATTAGCCACTAGCTTTTCTTTAGACAATCACTGATAACACTGCTAATACAATTTATTACTTTACTAAGACCCCTAATAACCTTTTGCTAACGAGCTCATCCCTTCCCAGACCCCTCTTTCCTTGAGTTATAACTAAACATCTGTACACATGACAATTATCACAAAAATGTATAATCCATTATATCATAAAATGTTAAGAGAAAAATGCTTTGTTCCCCTTGTCTTTGAGAATGTTTATGACAATTTATGGAGATCTCTTATTAACTTACCCTATGCATTATTACAATTAACTACTTGCCACACAGTATAAATAAAGACCTGCTGAGGGAATGATCAGGAAGACTTGCACCCAACTCTGATTCCCTGTGTCTTCCTCAAGCCCGCTCCCCTCTCCCCTTTTGGAATCTCCACTTGCCCCATGCCTTCCCACCTTAGGGCCCTGCCTGTCTTGCCTCCAGACACCTCGATAGTTGGGGTTGGTCCCCAACAGCACACATTTAAATAGTTATTATTAAATTACTCTTAAAAAGTTTGCAAGGCCCTCCCTAGTGGCACAAAGGGTTGGGAAAGCACTGAAAGACAGCACTGAAAGATAGCCGCAGCCGCTTCAGTGCCAGTTTGTTCTGGGCCCTGGAGGTGACCCACATGGCGCAGCAGACCTCTTCTGTCTCACCTGCTGCTCCCCTCAGCAGTGTACTTCGTAGACCTGTCTGTTCTGCTCCCCACTCTGTCCGTGGTGAAGCCTTTCACCGCCCCTGCACCTCTGGCTTGTACCCCAGTTCTGTATGAATAAAGCTTAAAAAATAAGTGTGTAAAATGGAGTTACTGAAAAAGTGATACACATATTTCCAAGCAACTTCCATTACAGCTCTGTGAATAAAACTAGTGTCCTTCTAATCTTGATGGGATTCTATCTTTACCTTCTCTGACCAATCTGCAATATACTTAACAGAAAAATCTCTTTTCCCCCAAAACGCTTTCTCAACCTATAGGGCTGCCTACTCTCGTGTTTTTCCTCATAATATGCTGAACTCTGCTTTTCAGCTTTCCTTCCTAGTTCTTCCTCATCTCTTTGAATTCCAAAGATATGTCCTAGAATAAATCTTTGGTCCTCTTTCTGCCTATACCTGTTCCCCTCATGGGCACTCACCTAATCTAATGGATTTAGCTTCCCATGACTACCATCTCTCATTTCTGTGACTACCACTGGATGTCTAAGAAACATCTAAAAAAATCCAAAACTTTCAAAGTTACCTTATTTCAGCCCAGAAAAATGGCAAATCTTTCCAGTTACTAAAACCAAACCCCTGCTTTCTCTTACACCCCAGCTTCCTCTCCTCATTCAGGTTTCTGCTCAAAACAGATCCCCCAGATAAGCCTCACTTGCCACATTTCTGAAACAGCACTCTACTTCCTCCCACCATCATTCTCAGTTTGCCTCTTTTTTAAAAAACAAAATGGCAAGTCTCAATAGCTAAAATTAGAGAGAGTGTGTATATCTATATCTACATATATATATATATACTAAGATTTTTATTTATTTATCCATACAGAACTGGGGTACAGGCCAGAGGTAGAGGCGGCGAGAGGCTTCACCAGAGACAGAGTGGGGAGCAGAACAGGCAGATCAACCAAGTACACTGCTGAGTGGCGCAGTGGGAGGGTCAGGAGAGGTCTGCCACGCCATGCGGGTCACCTCCAGGGCAGGCAGGGATCAAACTCATGCTGAAGTGGCTTTAGTTTCTCAGTACTGTGCTTTAACCCGCTGCGCCACCAGGGAGGGCCACATATATTTTCTTAATTGAACATTGTCTCCCCATTAGGATATTAGCTGACGGCAGGAACGCTTTCACTTTTCTAGCACCAAGAACAGTGTTTTTTGTTGTTGGCACAGTATCCGCTCTGTGACTATTTGCTCAATGCAGAGCACAGGCAATACACAGCTATTGCCCTTACAACCAGGTTCTTGAGGTAGCAAAGGCAAACAGTGCACTTAGTAATCAAGCATCTAGGCTTCAGGCCTAGCCAAGATACAACTACACAGCTTTGGGCAAGTCATCCTTTTGATCCCATTTCTCCATCTGCAAATGGGAGTCTACACTACCTTCCTCAGCAAACAAGAGAGCTGAGTCAATGTCTTTGTTATTATAAGTGACAAGATTCACTATTTGCAAATTACTAGCAACATTTGTTTCAATTTTTCTCTTAATTTCACCTCTTCAGGTACAATACAGCAAGAGGTTACATGTTCAAGAGTTTAATATTATCATATTATATATTATCAAGTTGTGTTTCTGATGTTCCATTTGTGCAAACTTTAGGAATGGTAAAGTAAATCAATTAACAGAAAAAAAATTGCCAAATATAATCTAATTCTAGTATGGTTGCAGAACTTATGTAAATATACTAAAAATTATAAGGTGAATTGTATACATAAACTACAACTCAATAAAACATCAATAAAACAACAAAAAGATTTTTCTAATTTTATATAGTGGGGCTAGTGTGGAATAGTCTCAGATTTTAGAAATAGGGCAAAAGTAACACATCAAAAGGTTTCCCCTTAGAAAAATCACTCCCTTAGAGACACCAACCCAGTTTAATAGATGAGTGCAGCTGTTAATTGAAACAGGACAGTCCCCCCCCAAAACTGTTTATAATAAAGAAATCCATATATTGGGTTAAGTCCAAATTGACTTGAATTTTTCTCCAAGAGATTATCTGCATCCCCTGTTCACTGTAGCACTATTCATAACGGCTAATTTTGAAACAATCTAAATGCCCATTGATGGGTAGATAAATAAAACCATTCTCTCTCACTTCCAACACACACACACACACACACACACACCAAGGCACAATATATCAAGTAGTAGCCTGGGAATGAGGGAAATAAACAAATGTTCAAGGGATGCAAACTCTAGGAGGAATTAGTTCTGGGGGTCTCTTGTACAGCCTGGTGACAATCACAATACTATATTATACTTGAAAGCTGTTGAGAGTAGACTTAAATGTTATCACCACATAACAAAAAAGTAATGTGAAGGGGAGGGAGCTATTAACTAACCTTATTGTGGTAATAATTATTTCACAACATGTATCTGTAGCAAATCATTACTATGTACAACTTAAACTTTCCCATATATCGAGTCTATTTTAAAGCAGGGGGAAGAACCAAACAAACTGAAAATTTTATTCTGAGAATACACTGGGTGGGGTGACCTTTGCAACCTAAGCATATCCAAGAACCCAGACTTCTCCAACAGAGAAGTGGGGACGTTCAACACAATCCTCCTAGACACCCCGGCTGCCAGTCCAGTTACCCAAACAAAAGCATCCCATTTCTAGGGTGGGGATACCCGCTGGGAACAGTGTGCGCCCTTGGTGAACTCCAGGCATCCAGGCTGTGTGAGGTCCCCGACAGGTCTCCAACCTTGCATCTCTGCGGGAATCTGACCCCAGAAGGAGCCTCTCGGGCCAGGCCAACCCCCGAGACACAGGCGTCACGCGGCACTGCTGCTAAGCCGCCCCTTCCAGCGAGCTGGGCTTCAGCCTGGCAGAGCATCAGCGCCCATGGAAAACGTTTTAAGTTTCGAGTGCCACCTAAACTCTCTGATTCAAAACTGGGGTGGGGGTCCCCACACTAGTTTGACGGCGCCGGTGGTATGTAAATGAAAGAAGTCGCCGTAAGGTCTACCCCACCAAACTCCGCCTTGGGCAGGGCCAGAACAGTCTGGAAGGCCCTGCAGTCTCCGTGGCGGGCGACTGGTCCCCACAGCGCTCCGGGAGTGGAGGAGACGCGCCTCCCTCCCGCGCCCGCGAAACTGCTCGCCCGCGAGACCGCCCCTCGGCCCCGAGCGGGCCCGCCCCGAAGGGCTGGAACGGAGGGCCGGGTCTCAGCAGGTTTCCGCCCCACCTGAAGGCGACATCTGCAACGGCTCCTTCCACCAGCCAATCACTCCCGCCAGCCACTCATCGCCAAGCCTAGCCCCAGGCCGCTGCAAAACACCAGGCCCATCTCTCCCTGTCTCTAGGCATTCCGGACGGCGCATGCGCACATCGTGGGGTGGGCCGGGCAGAGGAGGATACACGCACGCGCAGTAGCTTGCCAGTGCTCGGTAGTCGCTGCAGCACGTGGGTTTGGTTGTGTCGCGCAGCTGTGCTGGGAGTCAAACCTCAGTTTGCAGGTGTCCATCGTGGGCAGCGGACTAAAAAAGGCCATGGCGCCGGCGGAAGTCCTGAACGGGAAGGTGGTCTCTGCGTAAGCACCTGCCATTGTTATTAGGGAGTGTTGGGCTGCGGAAGAGGACTGGCGCAGGGGGTTCAGGTCCCCGCGGACCCATTTTTGGCGGGAGGACATTTGTGGGGGCGGTGTGTGGAGGTAGGGGGGCTATGCAGACGGACGGGGAGGGAGGAGGTTGTGCTGAGACTGAAATCTGGACTGATGTCTTGCAGCCAAAGGTGGTAGCCCTCAGGCACATTCTGTCCTTGGCGCGTGAATTGGTGACTGCCCTCTGGCCTCTGTATTTCTAAGGCAAGTTTTTTAATAGGCCCGATTGTGCTCCCCGAAGTGCAAAGGGTGGCTTTCTGCCAGAAGAGAGTGGTGGAGGCTATCAGCAACAAACAGTTGGAACTCAGAAACTCATTGTACCTCTTCTATAATTTGGTGGTTAAAGAGACAGATTATTGAGGTGACAAGACTACAAGGCTGATTAATGACAGAGGGTCTCCTTTTGCCTCATAAAGGCTAAGTCTTTTGCTAAGTAGAACCCAGTGAACTTTTACTTTCCCTTCGATTTCATGCTTCTCTAACGACTATCTCCTGACCATGGTCACTTTTCCTAGTTTGGTTCCTGAGTCCTGACAACATTCCATTTGACCTCTACCTGTTCTACCCTTCAGAAAATCTGAATATTTAATTAGTGGATGCTATTGCCAAACTTAGTCCCAGGAAGTAGTACTTCTACTTTTTATTGAGAAGGTAGCTCGAGGGGAAAGAGAATAGATGAGGGAAGAACATATTTTATAATACCCTCCTTGTGGTTGTCTTTAGGTTCTTTGACCTCACCAGTTACCTATTAACTGCTGTAAGTGGCAGCAGTAATTCTCCTATGAACAGCATCCTCTAACTTTGTGGGTGAAAGTTTCCTGATGGAATTAAAATGTCATCTGTGTTAAAACTTTCATTGGGATAAAATGATTGTTTCCTAAAAGGAAAAAGTTGCTGAACAAAAGTGGAGTTGCTTAACAAAGGTGAGGTATACATTAGATGGTGGTGAATTTTACATTTTGGTGAGGCAGAACCTCAGACTTTTAGACTAGAAATTACAATACTTTTACCTACTTGATTTTCAACCTGTGGTTTGCTGACTACACTGTTTCTGCTGGATCTTCCTTTTTGTTTTCTTATATTCAGATCTACTCCCTTTACCAATGGCCATATATGTATACACACACACACACACACACACACGTGTATGTTGCATGGAAACCAAGTTAAATATATTTGTAAGTTCCATGAAAACCTTGTCTTTTTTGGTCCATATCCAAAACACATAGAAACCTTTAACACCTTAGTGGTAGCAGTGTGACTTTTAAGGAAATTAGTTAGCCTTTCTGTGCTAACATTTCTTCAAATGTAACATAAACTGTCTAGGACATTGATTTGTCAGGAGAATTAAATGATATGAGCATTTAGAATTGTCCCTAGCACATAAGTATTAATACAAGTTAGCTGCATTAATGATTAACAGTTAGTTGCAGTGTATATGGATAATTGATTCATTTTTCTTTTGGTCAGTGATAGCTGATTTGAGATCTTTTTCAATAGTTCTCAGCATTAACTGCATATTAAATCATTTAGTTTTTATTCCAATACTAATACATGCCCCCTCCCACTCCCCCCAAAAAAGGCCTGTCATGAATATATAGCTCAATGAACTTTTCACAACCGAACTTATCTGAATAACTGGCACCCAGATCAAGAACTGAGACTACTGGCATATCAGTAGCCCACTTCTTACCTGCATCCAGAACCACCCCTCAAAAGATAATTAATTTCCATATTTTTAACACTAGATAAGTGCTGTATATTTTTAAGCTTTACTTTTTAAAGATTTATTTTATTTATGCATACAAGAACTGGGGTGTATAGACCAGAGGTGTGTGTGTGGGGGGGAGGGGGGGAGTGGATTCACCAGTGATAGAATAAGGAGAATAGGCAGGTCTGCTGAGGGGAGCAGCGGGTGAAGACAGGAGAGGTCTGCTGTGCCATGTGGGCCACCTCCTTGGTTGGGGATCAAACTCATGCCACAGCTGCTGCCAATAGCTTGATAGTACTGAGACTTTAACCCCTGCCACCAGGGAGGCCCTGCTTTTAAACTTTGTATAAATAACATGATACTGTTATAATATGATACTGTTATGTGTTATAGACACATAACTATTTACCTTCTTTCAGTCAGTATTGTGTTGGAGACTCCATGTTGTTTGCAGGTGTAGCTTATTTAGTCCCACTGTTTTATTATATGAATAGGCCACTATTTAGTCTCATTGTTTTTATTATATAAAATATGCCACTTTGTATTCATGGCCATGTGGTTTTCTGCTTGTTGGTGATTACGAAAAGTGCTGCTATGTGCATTTTTTTTTATTTTTGCATAAAAAAAACTGGGTGTAGGCCAGAGTTGTTGGAAAGTTGAGAGGATTCACCAGAGTAGAGAACAGAACAAGTAGATTTACTGAAATGGACTGTAAGGGGAGCAGCAGGTGAGACAAGAGAAGTTTGATGTGCCATGCGTGAGTTTAACCTGACAGAAGGTTGAACTCAGACAGTAGTGATGATAGCTTTGAAACTTAGCCCCTAGGCCACCAGGGAGGCCCTGCTAATTACACTCTTTCACATATCTTTTGGTTGAATATGTAATGTGCACATTACCATTGAGTAGAATTGAAGAGTAGAATTATGGAGTAAGTGAATACGTGTCATTAGTCTTAGAAATTGTCAATATTTCCAAGGTAGTTTTGCCAATTCAGTCATAGGGTGATTTTGAAAAATGCCTGTTTTAGTGCTCACACCAGATTGATTGAATTGAGATTACTAGCAGTTTGAGCCACTAGGTTCAAATATGTTAAAACACTTCTAAAAACTCTTTGATTCTAATGTATGTTGAAGGTTGGGAATCACCTACAGTCTTAAATCCATTTCTCATAATGGAAGAATAATATGACAGTGACTTGGTCATAGGTTTTGGAAATATTTTCTGGGACACTTTTCCAGGTACCAAAAGGGTCTCCCACCCACTTACTCAGATTTAATGTACTCCTTTTACAGTCCCTGTGGTTGAGTAATCAGTTTCTCCTAAAACATCATTAAAGACTATTAAGATTAAGATTTTATTTGCTTATAGGTGCTTTTCTTTAATGTGCTTATAAAATGACTTGTTTAGAGGTTGCCACATCTTGACACTTTGGCCAGGATAGCTTGACCCTAGCAGCTGATAGTGCTTGCAGTTCCTCAGAGGGAATTTTAGAAGGGAAGACACCCTGTTTGGCTCATAGGTAATACAGTTCCTCAGATCCTTTGCTGAGGCTTCGGGAGGCAGCTGACCCTTTAGCCATGACCCCAGGGAACTTTGAACTAGAAAGTGTTCTTACTACTTCAGTAGGATGAGCTGAAGGTGGAGGTGTCCGGGCTGTGTGTCCCTACTTTTCCTCTTTTGCTAGGCCAAGGTCATTCTTGAAAGGTAAGTGAGGGGCTTCTTACATTGTACCCTGGCTTCTGGAGTTCCTGGAGAGGGTCCCTCACTCCCCCAGATTTGCAGGTTAGCTTCCTTAATTGCCACGAACTGTGGGTTCTCTCGGGGACAGATTTGCAAGCCATCAAGTATCTTAGGCAGTTTCTTCCCCGAATTGCAAAATCTTTTCCTTGCTGGGAGAAAGAGTGGGACACCCTTCTCTCCTCCTTGGGCATCCAGGGGTAGGGTGATAGTACCAACCCTTTAATAATATGGTTGTTTCTCCTGGCACTCAATCCTCATTCTTAAATGCTTCCCTAAATCCACCTTCACCTAAGAAAAGACATCTTTATCACTCTCAACACTTAAAAGATTCCAATGCTTTCAGGATTTGTGAGCCATAAGTGAGTGAGTTGCTCAAGAGTTTCAAGATTAGTGATAGACTCAGTGTATTTTCCTTCGTCCCCAAAGACTTGTCTGTATGCCCCTTGCTTCCAGGAGTTGCAGACTTTTATCTGATAACTTAGACCCTTCCTGTTAGGAGATGGACGACCCAATTAATCTGTTTGAGTGGAATCTTTTTTTTTTTTTAAGATTTATTTATTTATGCATACAAAACTGGGATACTGGGGTACAGGCCAGAGATGCAAGGGTGGTGAGAAGATTCATCAGAGACAGAGTGGGGAGCAGAACAGGTGGATTGAAGTAGACTCCTGAGAGGAGCAGTGGGCAGGTCAGAAGAGGTCTGCTGCACCATGTGGGTCACCTCCAGGGCCAGGGATCAAACTCTCACTGAAGTTGCTGCAATTAGCTGCAGTGCTGTGTTCTAACCCATTGTGCTGCCAGGGAGGGCCCTCCAAACTGAATTCTCCTCAGAATCCAGCCACTTTAGTGCGAGTTTAATCCCTAGCCCTGAGTTGATCCACATGGCTGGCAGACCTCTCCTGACCTACGTGTTGTTTTCCTCAGCAGTGTACTTAGTCGATCTGCCTGTTCTGCTCCCCACTTTGTCTCTGGTGAATCCTCTCACTGCCCCTGCACCTGTGGCCTGTACCCCAGTTCTGTATGCATAAATAAATAAAAATCTTAAAAAAAGAAAGAAAAAAGGAGCCATTTCATGGCGATAGCCCAGTTTTGACTGGTTGGAGATAGTCAAACCTTGCTTTGTTAGCTAAGCTTTCCTTTTTCCTGGTGAAAAGTTATTTCCCTGAAGCCAAAGCAGGAGAGGTTCAGCTTTGGGTTGCTGGTGCTTAAAGCT